GAAATATGCGAAGGTCAAAGAAATAAATAAAAATTCTAGAAATTGCACTCGCGAAGAGTCGTAAGCAGTCATTAACGAACTTCTGTCTTTGCTTATTACAAATTGCAAAACCCCATTGCGGATGAAAATAATGCAAGTGGACGTATTCGTGTTCTAATAGCTGTTAAATAGTCACTGAGAGGACGTAAACATAATTTGACAATTGTATTTTGAAAAGCAGCTTTGACGAATGAAATAGATGTGCAGACTTTAATATTGTTTGTGTCAAAATATTTAATAGAATGGTTTTTCACAAGACAAGAAAATATTATATATATTTATATCTCTATATTTTTTAAAAAAATTTGTTCCTTTAAATTATTGTTGATGAGGGGGTGCATCAGTTGAGACGACTAATGTGGTTCTAAATCTCAAAGGAAGGTGTCACATTGGAATGCAGGGCTAGTACAGCATCACAGTAGTTTTTTGGCATGAGAGATTTCATAATACGATGTGTCTACTTCCTAGGATATAGTAGTTTTACGGTAGATAGGAATACCAAAACTGTGATATGGGTTACAGACGGATACAATTCTAGTTAAGTCACATTCTCACTTGGTATTGCAGTAGCAACGTTCACTTTTATTGCACTAGCAATCATTTCCCTCCCTCCCTCCCTCCCTCCCTGTAGGGTTTTATTTTGTTCTATTCATGGACAGTGTGATCACTTTTATCATTTGATTGAGGTTGTTTTAATTCTTTTTTAGTTTTGGTCTTTCTTATTTGTTGGAGCACTTTATTTTTATACTAAATATTACCTTTTAGTTATTTACCATGTATTGTATTTTGTTATGATTAATAAAGGCTGTCTTGTATCCCAAACAATGCCTGGGTTTCTGAGTTTTGTTGATTTAGTGTAAAAACTATGCCATTATAGTAATATCCTGTCACTGTAGGTGGAATACATACACACTGAAAAACTTCGTGGGCACTAAGCTTCTATTATTATTAGATTATGTTTGTCCTGTATCATACAGTCAAACCCCTCTTTACGGATACCAGCGTAATGTGGACTCCCTGTTATTATGGGAAGTTTCCTTGGTCACTGAGGAAAACCCTTAATTTTTCTCTTTATTCAACCCACTTAATACAGACTGACCTGTTAAAGTGGATAATGGACGTTAATTTTTTTGTTCTTCCTCAATGAACAGATTCTCATATAAAGTCAACTTCGCTAATGCGCGACACTTTATAGTCCATTGTGTGCTGTAGTCAACCTCTTTTTTTGTAGGGTAAAAAAACCTTTCACTTAATTGACGTCATGTTCATGTTCCCAGCATCATAGTAAACCAAAATGAATGAATTGTGCACAACAATAATAGACCATTTTGACATCAATCGAGTTAGTAAATGTTACATAATATTTGATCGATTTTCTCAAGACTTCCGTGTGTTTTCATGGTGATGGACACAGTCTGCAGAATAAGAGCTTAGTGATATTTAAAGATGTTAGGTGTGATGCTGTAGTATTTTGATTAAAAAGTGTATTTTTGACTTTTATAACAGGACCTGCTTGATATGGACACCTCCGTTATATAGACACTTCCTATGGCCCCTTCAGTGTCCATATCAATGGGGTTGACTGTAATTATGAAATAAGGAACAGTTTTGTAAGATCGATCATTTGGTGTCCTGTTTAAAGTGTATTTTCAGCCATTCTTCACGTTTTCCACCTTGCATGTCATAACCTGAGGCAAGGTAAAGTAACAAATTTATTAATAAATTAAAAAATTATATGAGCAATCTGTGTACATTTATTTCATTGAAATGAAAGGGTTATCCTGGGATGACCAATGCTCTTATTATATTGTCAGCATTGACATTTTAATTCAGTAATCGAAAATTATATAAGTGGGAAACTGGTTTGCATTGTTGCATACTGTCTCATGACAGTGATTAAACAACCATCATCATTTCAGTCAAGATTTTTGTATTCAAAGCTATCCTACAATGTGAGCTCGCTTGGGCATTTGTTGAACATCCATGGTGAGCCTGTTTAACCAAGATCTTACAGTTGAGCTTGCACCAGCGGGGAAGAACTTGCTGTATATATTCATTGCTAGTTTGCTACGTGCGATTGAATATACCAGAAGGTTGGCACCAAACAAAAATGGACTAACATAAGATGGTTGCACAAGAGAATACAGCTGATCCACAGCAACTGTTTTCTGCACATCTTTTATACCATTGTGACATAAGGCACTTACTGCATGTGACAATACTTCATTTCGTCCTCCATCCAGCTATCTGGTCGCAATTGAAAAAGACCAGGTAAACTCTTGTAGGTTTGACTGCAGCTAAGAATGTCCTTTTTCACCTTCTCAGCTTCTAACCTGAAGATACAGTCTGTTAATTGTAGCAATGTTACTCTCTCAACACCTGCTACAGATTGATCAATATTGTCAAGATCCACAAAGACAAAATTAAAATATTCTGGTTGCGCACTGTACGACTCGATCAATTTATCGCTTTCATGTTCCGTTAGTTGCGCTTTTTTCTTTCATTTGGCTCCATGCTGAAAGTTGCACAAAAATGGCCTATTTTCTTAAACACTTTGTTGTATTTTTTCAAAGCTGTCAGCGATGACTGCGTTCAAAACTGTATTCAAGTTTATTTAGAAATACGGTAAATAAATATTAATTTGTCAATTTTGCTAATCTTCGATTCAGGATATATTTAGTTGCTTTGAATTTTCCGGAACTGTCAGTTGCGACTAGCTCAAAATTTTACTGTAACTGGATTGTACAAAACAAATTTGCATTTACTGCTTTTATTTGAAATTATTGACGAAGACAAAAGCTGAAAAGAGACTCACTTTGTTAACTTTACCATGCTTTCTTACCTCTGAAAAATCGTACGGCAAATATTGACGCCGACGGGGTTACCTGATATCCGCCCTCCCAGTTGCTACCACGTGATTCAAAACGGTGACGGTGCACAATCCTTCTTTGGACCCAAAACAACACATTGTAAAGTCAAATACCGCATATTATTTACGTGTACCCAGGGAAATCTCTCGTTTAATAGCGACTAAGACCCATAGTTAGAAGTGGACAAATAGAAACAACGGCCTGGTGATGCAGTTTATGTTTGAAGCTTCCTGACGGTGCAAAATCCTTTGTTTTTTTCTGTAATGGCGTAATGGGGGACTGAATTGGGAGTCTTCATGACCGTGAGACATGCTCTTTTCAAAGGTGTTACACCTTGCGCAGTTTAGCTGAAGTAGTGCAAGATAAGATAAGTTATCCGATAGGAAGCGAGAGTTTTATCTCCAGATTATTTAGATTGATATTTGTGGCCTTCAGATTTTACAGTAGGTGAAAAGTGAAAAAATTTAATAACAGAAAATAGAACTGCAATTTACATGTAATAGGTAACTTGAAGATATGAATTCTATAATCTCCTATTAAAAGCAATATTTATACCACTCAATAGTCTGTCTATAATGCTGGTTGGTACCAGGCTCCAAGATACGAAAATAAAACGGGAGGAAACTGGGGAGAGCAGGGCTTTTTCCGCCCGCCACATTTTCGCTCGCCTTTACTTTCGCGTTTTCCCCACTATCTGAGAGCCTGTTCCAGGCTATGACGTTCGCGTCCTCATTGCTTGGGCTCGCTAATGTCGTGACGCGGTCTACGCCATACCTGGCAATCTGGAGACCACTTGTCAGACGTTTTGTCATCGATCACATTTGAGATGGAAAACCTCTGAAACATCCTCAGATTCTATTTATGGCCCAATTTTGGCAGTTTAAAGCTCCCAGAACGCTGGAGAACTTAAAATGAAGATTTGGCAAATTCAGCATTTTTTCAACTCTCACTTCACTAAAATGTGATTGTGTGTTTAATAATGGTGCTTTTTGCTGCCCAAACCTCTGTCTTTTTCATGGCAATAAAATTTAAAAGAGCGCTACAAAATAAGAAGGAAATATTTGCTGACAAACAAATTTTATATGCTTTTCTTTCCCGTGTTTTCCGTATAGATTGTCACCAGTGAAGAGTATCTTGCTCAATGTTGCATTATGCAAGAATTACAAGCGCATGACACAAGTGTCCCAAGTGATAGGCAAGGGCTGGGGTTACCCCATTTCAATGTATTGAACCTCCTGTGTATGGTCAGGGTATGTGCATGTGATCTTGCTACGCACGGTCATTGGTTTGCAGACACTCGCTGTGCGAACATCTATCTTTTTTCCCTCCTCCTCTCCTTCCCCTGTCCGCTTTTGTTTTTATGTGATAGTTATCATGGCGTTTTTCTGCTCTCACCTTTACTGGGCGGAGTACGTTTCCGATCGAAATTGTAATATACTAATTCATAGAAAATTGATATTTAATTACGAATTATTTATAAACCTGTTTCATGCTGAATTTGGTGAATTCTACAATAGAAAATGGCCTATTCTATTTCAAACAAGTTAGTAACGTCTATAAAATCGGCTTTGGGCCTTGCCCTTAGCCAATTTTTACTCCAAATCAATCCTGTCTCTGTTTGTTGTTTTTGCCCAGTAACAAGCGCGGGAACTGCAGCCTACTGGCAAATAACTAATAATTATTGTTATTACCGAAAAAAAGAAATAAAAGACAGATTTGGCAAATTATGAATTATTTACACTTTCAGTTTAAGAAAGCGTGTGATTGCGTATCAAATACTTGAGCTCTTTATTGTCCAAGTTTAAACTTAGTCAACACTTGAAGCAACGAACTGGGCAATTATTTAAGAAAAAGAACCAAGTTACCTTTCCATCTATCGCACGTTAAACTCAGCACAATCATTCTTTAATTCTTGGGACGTTCGTCATTTGCAATCAGTGTCATAATAATACGCAAAATGATAGTTTACTGACTGAGGTGATTTGCATCTTCTGTCATTCTTTGCTGGGTGTCATCAGCTTAGCATGGTTCTGAGCTGTTTGAACCTTTATAACAAGGTCTTATTCTTCTATAATTGCAGACTGAAGAAGAATGGCATCATTTACTGGAATCCTGCTTGACGTTTCCGGTTCCATGCGTCGTAGCATTGGAGAGGGTACTGATGAAAAAGGAGGACCATGGGCTCGCTCGATCTTTGAAGTTATTGACAACCTTATCAAATACGATATTTCTTCTGATAACCATGTATTTGCAATAGGCTTTGGGGCCAGTTGTGGTGAGGAAATATTTGATATCATAGGAACTCTGGAACAGATTCCAAATCAAGATACTAATGTTCAAGTGCCTGTCACCGCTGATCACGTAAACGAGATTTTCGATATATTAGAGGGGGCCGGTGCACGTACAATTCGCAAATGGGCAGAGGTCGAAGTCGTCAAAAAAGCATTAACCGATAATTTGGCTGTCGTGTTTCTAAACAAGTTTAAGTCTGACCAGTCTTTTCTTAAAGAATTCGTTGAAAAAATTCTACCACCAGCTTGTCGGGATTGGCAGGAACCGGGACCGGGTCTCTATTTAGGGGCAGCTGGTGCCGCTGCTCTTGCTTTTGGTCCACTCGCGGTAATACCTGCAGTCTTAACTTTAAAGTTCGGACGACAAGCGGGAAAAAATGCGTATTCGTCGGTGGTGACCACTTTTAAGACGGCTACAGTAGCAGACGTCAAAGAAGTAGTGGAAAAGGCCAAAGCCTATTTGCTCAAAAAAGTAGATGTTGATTCCATTTTCAATGTTCAAAAAGCCTCAGATGTTGTGCATGGATGCGTCGGTGAAAAAAAACTCACTAAAGAAAGGAGTCAAGAATTACTGCACAGCGTCGAACCCTACATTTACGGCTATACGCCTTTGTACCAGTCAATTGAGAAGGCAATAGAGCTTTTTGAAACAAAAGCTACTAAATTTCGTAACCACAAAAAGCTGCTGTTTATCCTGTCAGACGGATATCCTTCAGATGAAGACGTTTCTGATCCTGAGAGAAAAGACCGCGCTCTCTCAAAATTGACCACAGCAGGTGTGACAGTAGTGAGCTGCTTTATCACTGACATCACACAGATTGACCCCAAACGACTGTTCAGCAGGATGGGACCTGACTGGGATCGGGGTGCAAAGTTCCTGTTCTCATTGAGCTCAAAAGTGTCAACACAATCCCTACCACGCACAATGTTTGTAAAACGGGATTGGACCATCGATATCGCCAACAATGAGACACATCTGTTCTTGCAGGTCAATCATCCAGACCACTTACGAGAGGGGTGCGAGGTGGCTCGAAATGTCGTTTGTTGTCAAGACGCCTTATGCGACATGCTTGCATCCGTTAATATAGATTTCTACATCAATCAAGAAGTAAAGGACTGTAAAGCAAAATTACAAGAAGGGGATACCTGCGCTGCAAATGCAGCTGCTACAGTGCTTCATTTGTCCATGACAAGAATTCGTGGACGCGAAGGTGGATGTCCAGATTTCTGTACACTAAGAGACGAAATTGTCAAACAATTTGATGTTGAAAAGTATCCAAAGGGTGTTCCGACCATCCATGTGCTACAGAAAATGTGCCCGAAGTATCGCCTGAGGTGCAAGCGAGTCGACCACAAGGGAGCCATGAAAGCAGTCGCTTCAAGTCGGCCAGTGGTGGCAACATTTAGGCTCACTGAGAAGGAGTGGGATAACTTTGAAGATTTCTATGAAAGTAACCCAAAAGGCATTTTGACGAAGAAGGAGATCGATATAACAGCCCGTCGTCCCAAAACTCCTGACTTTGGCCATGCAGTTGTGTTAACCAGTTTCGACAGTGAATGTTTGCGACTGCTGAATTCCGGGGGAGACGAATGGGGGGACATGGGTTTTTTTCGAGTGCAGAAGGCAGACGTTCTTGGATTACAATTCATCGACGTTTATTGGACAGAAGATGATTTGAAAGAGGAAGAAAAAACCTATTTGAAGAAATTTGGATCCATCAATGCCGGGATATTAATGGAATTGTTGCCAAGTCTTAAGGATGCTGAATACACGTGCCCCATTGCCGAATGCAGCAAGAGATCGCCAGTGGTGGACTTTACCGGAACTTTGTCACAGGTAAAGTGTCCCAAATGTGGCAAGGAGTTTTCTACAAAGAATGCCCAGGAAGGGAACATTTTGGCTCTTAACATTTATCTCACTTCTTTAATCAGATGAGTTTTCTAACTAACTGAAGACTCCTTTGAAGAAATGACATCTATGACCAATCAACGACAAGAATATGTACAGCCACCGAAATGATCCCGACTCCGAAATGATTCCCAATTAAGGGTTGGGGATCCTCTCGGGGTCGGGATCATTTCGGGGGTTGTACAGATACCCAATTACTGAAATAATTCGAGATTCGACATCGACATGCGTTTTTTTACTAAGATATATTTAAAAAACGTTGATAGAAATCAAATGTATATTCTGTATTTCTTAGCTTTACAATACTTCTAAGACCTACCGTTTTAGCAAAGCGAGGTGTGACCCGGAATTCCGTAGAATAATCCCGTGGACGCCCTAACATTTAGAAGTGACATAAGAGTGGGGGGTCTTTTTCATAAAGAGCAACCAGGTTCGTGCAGAGACTGGCATTTCAGTGGTGTAGCTAACGATTCCCCAGAGATACACGAAGTTTTCTTAATCAGCCTTACCCCGTCTTCTATTAAACCTTTTTCATGCGGGTGCATAACTTGATTGAATATCCCCTTTTTATGGAATTTTGAGAAAATTTATGAAATAAGAAAACAAATAAATGCAGGGTCCAGCATGACTTGTTTTAGGACGGCTAGTTGCTTCTTTTCAGTGTAAATATTCCTTGATAAGTGCTTACTTGAAACTTTCCATGCTTATATGTATCAGGGCTGTTTTTTGTTAAACTAGCATATTCCAGGTAATAGGTATCTCGGCTGTGGAGCAAATCTGTAAAAACGTGTCTTGGTTATTGTTAGTTTTTACACTAGATGAATATATTTCTTTTCTCGTAATGTAAGAAACTAACTTTTTAACAGTTTCAGAAGTTTTGGAATGGTCCCTTCCTCGACGGATGCGGCGAACTGCCGACAGCCGAAATTAACTGTCTCAGCGTTGAATATTTACTAGATGCTAATAAGGGTAAAGTAAATTAAAGTTTGAGAGTCCTCGTGCTTACGTACACTTTTCTCCCTGGATCCCAGCCACTTACTGAAGTAGCCTGACTATATAACAATTTTGGAAAGTGTCATTTATCCTACTATTTCTTTTGCAATGAGGTGACCGTTCATGAACAATCAAAACGTCTCTTAACTGCCTTGGGTCAACTCAGAGTTGACAGAACAAACTTTTGTTTGATCAGAAGAGCACTTTATGTAAAACATACTGAGATATACACAACAAAACACTATGTCGTATAAACCTTTCATACGCAAATGACTTTTCGAAAGTTTTTTCTGTCGAAAAAAGTTAACAACTATTCGGAAATTGGACAGTACATAACAATTGCGTATACAGTGTATTTCAACGTTAAAAGAGGAAAATTGTAGATAGCATGCAAAACAACAGTGGAAAGGGAAAAGCAAGATAGAGTTCCACTATTTTGTCTTTTGTTATACAAACCGATCTTTTCACTAAAATTGCCACTGATTGGGCATTTGATCTTTACCTGTAGATTCAGAAGACCAAGTTATAAGACTACTTGTAATAAAATTCCTACATTACATTATTTTAAAATTCTTAATAGTTTTCGAAATATCACGTAGTTTTCTTTGCCATTTCAAACTGTGTAGCTGCTGTTTTATTATTTAAGCTTTTTGGTAAGATTTAAAATAAAAGGCTGTCAAAATACTTTATGTCTGATTATGTATACAACAAAGATAATACCACAAGGAAAATACCCTAACTGATTAGACCCTTAAAGGAGACGGCAAGCACATGAAGCACACCTGTTCCATTTCGGGATCTCCAAGGCTTCCCTTCCCCCTCCCCCCACCCCCCACCCCTTAAGAGACTTTTCTTTTCTCATTTTTGAGGGAGTTATTTAACTTGCTTTATCGTTCAGGGTTTTCAATTAGAATACGAGTTGTCCCTATTTTTTTATCAGGGATGCTAAATCAAACGAATTACTCTCGCGCACTTGAGAATCACCGCGCGGAAGGAGAAGCGAAACGCGAAGAAAGGAGAAGAGGAAAAAATTTCTCTCTTCCCTCCGCGTGTCAGGCCTGTTTCAAACTTCGTTATACTGCCTCCCTGAAGTCAACTGATCCAATTAAATTCGACTTTGGTACGGCAGTAGCACGATGTTTGCAACAGGCTTCACCTTTCTCGTGGGTAGCGGTTTCTTCGCGCGCTCTCGCGTATTTCATTCACTCTACTATCCCTGAGGGAAAATGAGGACTACTCCTAGGCTATAGTTCTTGACAAACAAGATAAGCTTGAAACGGATTTCTATTTTCAAGCAATGGCAGTCGGTTCTATGCAACTTACGTACATGTGGCAAAAGAAGAATTAAAAAAAGGAGCGGTTATCGATGTTAGCATACTTAAGTAAAACTTGTTACGTCAGTTTATTTTTACCAACTGTCAGTGTAGCAAACAAGAGGAGAGCATGAATGACACAAGGTAGACATACTGACTGAGGACACTTGTTTTATTGTTGTTCCTTTTGGGAAAATCATTAAGACCATCGGCAAGTTTCTTGTGATCGCGGCTTTTTGCTTTACGTTGATTGTATTGCTCTTATATCATGACGATCTTAACGCATTCAGCAAAAATCAAGTCTTCCCTCAGAGTCGCTTAAGGCTTCAAAGCAGAGGTACGATGCTTTGTCCTTGTGAGAAGGAAATTGTCACAAAGAAGGAGATGCTTCATTCAAGCGATATCATGCATTGTTAAAAAATCTTCAACAACACCAACGATGACAACAGTTTTAAACAACATTTTTAATTTATTTAAACATCGAACATTTCTGAAAACAAGGGTAAGGTTGAAAGATTTCCAGTTTTGATCCTAGTTCCATCCAGTCCTCTGAATTTTCAAAACAGAAACGTGATACGGCAAACTTGGGGCACCGATCACAACACGAATAAATCTTGGAAACCAATGTTTCTGTTTGGTCAAGCACGACATCCATCAGCAAATAAGTATTTAGTCAATGACGCAGCAATACTGACAAGGCGATCTTGTACAAGGAAGCCAGATAGACTCCTACTACGATCTTACGTTGAAGGCTCAAATGGGCTTTGATTTTGTTTTACTCTTATAAAGGCTTATGATCATGTCTTTATCAACCCCTTCATTCTGATAGCTCATTTTTCTCAAACGCCGAAAAGTAAGCTTTATCTGGGAAACTGTTGTTTAAGGCGAGAATATCCGAGAAGGGAGGGGAAGTGGGCGCTGTCATACTGAGCTGTTGCCAAGATTTTGCTTAGGTCCAGCATATGTTTTATCTCATTACCTTGTACGAGCTTTTGTAGGGGTTTTTGATACCAGGAGGCCACTAAAGCTTGAAGAAGTTTATATGGGGTTGCTGGCGAAACGCTTTGGTGTAACGCCAAGGCGTCATCGTGGATTCATGACAGATTCATTGAATGGAAGATTTTTTTCCTTTCAAGCCTTGTTGCTTTATCATTAAAATGCATTGTTATACTCTTTGACTACGCATTACAACAAAGATTTCGTGAGATAGCTTATCAGGGGCACCCAACGAGAATATAGTTCAAAATCACTTAAACATGGCATTGTTGAATGTATTTTAGCATTTAAACGGTAGATATAGGCATATTTTTATCCCCTAAAAATTTTTCATCTGTTCGGAGTCTAGTGATCCGAAAATTATGGGGATCAAAACTTACCTTTTCGAAAATTTCAGCCAGAAAAAAGGCTCCCAAAAATTCTAGGTGACCTTTTTAGGGTAAAAATCCGTTAAAAATGGGCAATTATATCTCTGTTTTTTAGATGTTCGAGGAGAGGCAGGCAAGCAAGAAATTTTACAACAAATGTTCCGAAAATTCTAGATCTCAAATCGTCTTCCGAACAAATATTTTCCAAAAATTCCAGTTGGGTGCCCCTGGCTTATTCAGAACATACCATAACAAACTTGAAAAAGCACATAAGTAGGCCAGCCAAGTGGGCTTAAGTTCGCGAGCAGTGCCGTAGAACGTATTTCGAAGGCGAGGAAATGACTATGCAAAATTTCTTTTAGTGTACAGCAAAATTATTCTGTTACAGAATCAAGGGACTCAGGAAAATCGTCCGCTATAACTAAACTCAAGTACAATATTACAAGCGTTTATTTTCCTGCACGTATCGTCTAGTGAGCAAATAAGTTTGTTGAAAATACGTACGTGTCAACATAGCATTTTATGTTAAAAACATAGAGAATTAAAAATATATTTACAACGACTAGATTTATCATGAAAATACAATACACAGGTGCAAATGTGACTATATGATACTGTTGTATCATCTGCGTAGAATCTTAAAGACATATAAGTAACGAACAAATTCAAATCATTAATAAAAATGTTAAACAGAAGGGGCCCAAAAAGGGAACCGCGAGGTACACAAACTCAATGTGGTCTGGGTTCAAATCCCGGCGTCCACGCCATATGGACGCCATATAGTCCAGTCAAATTGTGGTTTAGCATCAAACTAATTGCAACAGAATTTTTTCAAAAGCCATTTAATTGTTGGATGGCTATTTAACAACATACTAAAAATCCGTCAAAATCGGTTCGCTGAAACATGACAAAATTTGGCAATAAAGATTTTTAACTTTCACCACAGGAGACCCAATGTCAGGAAGATCACAGATTCAGACAAAACATCTGACAATTGTGTGTTTTTTGTTTTTCTCAGGAGTTTTTAACATCGCTAATGTATTTTGGGTATTTTTGTTTTTTTGTTTTTTTTAAAAAAACGCCGACTGAATGGGTCAGTGTTTCGTTTTGATGGCTTTGCACAGGTTACCCAGCCACTCGACTATCTTCACATTCTGTTTTTTTTTCTATGACGGTATTTAAAAGGGAAATTATTAGTCAGTCTGTGTTAACATGATTAAAAATATAAATAATTAATTTTTTTGCGGAATACCACAAATTCAGTAAGTGTTTTAGCAGTTTTACTGGCTTGTAATTTTTTATATCCTGCAGCATGGAGGCAAATTGAGTAGATGACTGATTGTGAACAGTTTGATTTGATACATTGTTCACCTTCAATCAGCTACTAAATTTGCATTTATGCTGAAAACCTGCGACTAAATATGTGCGACGGACGATAGCTTTTTATCAGTACAAACTGTTTAACCTATTCTCATTTTCTGTAATCGAGTTTTTTGACGTGCGGTTATGTTCAATCCTTGGACACAATGGGCCAAATATTTAAACGTCGTTTAGCCAGTGTTTAACAAAACCGCGTTTTAAGTCATTTGCAATTTGCCCAACGATTTTACCTAAACATCATTTACTGTGAACAGTTTTATGAAAGCATATAGAGAAGACTAGAAAAGCAATTGAAAATGACTTAAAACGCGGTTAAGTAAAACACTGGCTAAACGACGTTTAAATATTTGGCCCATTGTGTCCAAGGATTGAACATAACCACACGTCACAAAACTCAACCCAACAAAGAAGAGACCTGGAGGTTCAAAGATTCGTTAAACCGCGGCGTAAGTTAGACTTCGTTTATGTGTGATCGAAAACAAAGATTCTTTTTTTTTTTCTGGCGAAAAGCGCAACCTCCTTTAGAATTATGGCTCCGTACTTTACAATGTGAGTGAAAAAATATTCTGCCAAGGACTCCGTCGGTTTGCTTTTTGCTAGATAGTAACGCTCTGCGCCTTTCATTACGCCTGGGCCGAATCTGTTGTAAGGGAAATCGAGAAATGAACCAAGTGCAGTGTGATTGTTCCTTTTTTTATTTTCTTCTTGTAGCGAGTCTCAGATTTGGTTTAGTGTATCTGTGTGTTCAGTTTGTATTTTCTGCGGCAGCCCTTCATTTCTTGGTAAGATGAGTAAGTAGATTTTAATCGCGCTGTGGTGTAAAGGCGTTTATATTCCGTCCTTGCATTTCTTTTGTGAGAACAACCCTGAACCTTGACCAGTTTTTTTTTTCTTCCATTGGCAAATGAAGACCTCTTTCTCTTTAACGATCATGGGATCGATCCTACACGTGTGAAAATAATTGCGGCAGTCAATGAAGGCGCAAAACGACATTAATGGACTTACCTGACTTAGCTTCTAATGGCTCACCTCTTTTTGCGAACCTATGTTTCTCTTCGGATGAGCGTTGAGTAAAACTTCAACTTACTGCATGTTAACCTTCTGACTAAGATGCGAGAATTATGCTCTGCGTGGGGAATTTCCATAACTCCAAAGACTCTTACGAGATATGTTTACATATACGCATTGGTTTGGCTACCCAGAGTTAATCTTGCCCTTAAAAACAAGCTTCCCTATTACACTATTCAGTTTTCTTGAAACAAACGTTTGCTGGAACCAAAGTTCTTATGCGATGAATGTTCTGTTAACCTCTTTAATTTTTTTTGCGAAGGTAACTGTAAATGACATCACAACAAGCTTTATTGATTTAATCATATGATATCTCTCGCTTTAAGCTTTTCTGATTCGTTAGTTTCATTTCCTTAGACAACCCCTATTTTTACGTAGAAAACGCATGGTCTGTTAACTTAAGCTTTAGTTGGATTTCATCCTCTTCATGTGTACATCGTTGTAGTCTATTTGGATAGTTCATTTCTTGGTACTTAGAGGCCAGCGGGAACCGATATGTAAGTACATTTTATCTTCTGTAGTTTTGTCTATCTGGCAACTCACAAAGTGTATTCCTGCAAGAAGTTGTTGTAATACTCATTATCTCGTACCATTACGTGACTACGCCTTTTTGAGTGCCAAGTAGGTTTTTAACTTTTAGTTCGGCGTGAGAATCTCATTTCTTTTAGTTTATTTAGTTTTCGTGCCTTTGAAAACGTAGTCCGTTCTCAGATTTATTTTGTTAGTTTCTCAGTATAGTATTATTTCGCAGGAAGCAACCATTATTGTTTTGGGAAGGTTTCTTTACTCTAACGTACCCAAATTTAAGTTGATTTTGTTCCTTTCATGAAGTATATTTGGTCTAATATTCTAGTTGGTAAATTTATTATTCCTGTATTTCAATAAGTATATTTCTTTTGTCTTATTACGCGTTTTGGCAAGGTTTTTACACCGGAACGGCTACGAAAATGAAAATATGATTGGAATGTTAGCAAAATGGTATATTATCTGTTAGCCAAACTATAATAATTGTAATTGTACTTTAGCTTTTAGTAATTATTTGTTACGTTGCATTATATTTCAGATTACGGTTCGATTATCGTCAATAAAATCACCATCAAGAACTAGCTCCTAGTTTCGTGATCATAGTTGATTCATGATCGACCAGTAAAATATACCCGCTCACACGGAGTTTCGCCGCCACAAATAGTTTTAGCCGCGTGACAATTGGCTTCTCCTACAGTCGCAGCGTATCATCCGTTACAGTAACCCACAACACTTTTCCTTAAATGAAAACACATTTCCCTCTTATCAAATTCATAGGCATTGGAGCTTAACCTGATCAAAAACTCTGCATTGCTGTACATCGTAAAGAATTAGTAAAACGAAAATTAATGTATAGATAACCGTAAAAGCTAAAGCATTATCTTGTTGTATTTTTGAAAACGTACCGAACAAAAATTGCAGTCCTTTGACTGAGAAAAAACGAAGGCAAAATGAGTCCGAAAATCCTCCTAGAAAAGAACAATAGAAGGGAAAATAGAAAGAGCGAGGAGAAAGAAAGGAGGAGAAATTGAAAAGAAGCAATGGCTGTACTCTTAGTTTAAAAATGTTTGAGGGGAGACCTCTATTTTGACTGTAACGTTCATTAAAAATCCAACTAGATTTATACTTTTCTTACCCTTGCGGCTAACAGAAATCTGATAAAAAGGATATATTTTAAAAGCTCACGATTTGGTAGCGCCTTTAATTTTTTAGATTTAAAGCGTTGCGACTAAATTTGTTGTAGTTTTACAGCTAACAGTTCACTCTATTACTCTGTGCAAAAGCCAACCGTGTTTGATATTTATCCTTTTTGCAAAAAAGCAACACTTGGTAACAGTTATTCTTTCTTCTGTCACTTTTCCATAAAAGTGACAAACACATTTTGCGCATTTTTTGTGTGAACGTATAATTTCAACTAACGTGGGTGCCCTGTGTTAAAAGCTCAAATTGTTTAACGCTTAATTTTGACATGTTCCACCGAACGGACTTTAGTGGATTTTTAGGATGTTGTTAGATAGGCCACCCTTACTTAAATGGCGCTGAAAACAATTCTGTTGCAATTAGTTTGAGAGGGTCTCAAAGGGGTTAACCGATAGGCGTAAAACGACCAAAAATTTAGTCGATAGCCGGAAAAACTGAAAAATTTTAACCGTTAGCCGTAAATAGGGTAACAAAGAGTTAACCGTAAAAGAAATTGTTCCCTAGATTTGCTACTTTTAAGGAAGGTGCTAAACTCAATTATGGTTGCGTTTTTGTATTTCCCGGCTAGTGTCACTCGCACTTTAGGCGAAGCGCCTTTTGGGTGTTGACCAAGACCTTAGCTCCATTTCCGCCGCTCTCTCGGGGAACTAATTTTTTTCCATAGCGAAAGTGTGGTTTCTTGCTGGGGATTAATATTTGCGATTTTCAGGAGGTCGTGCCCTCGAAACACAAGTGAAACAACACGCAGCGATGTCACTGTAAAATACGTTGCCGATAAACAACATCTTGTTTTTCTCTGACGCTACGGTAGACATTGCCATGCCTAGTCCCTGTACGGGGTCTTCCCACGCAACGTCGGTCAAGGTATTTCGATGGCTAACTCGCTCGGACCACGTGACCCGAAACGCATTAGCCGCGCGAAATAATGAGGCCTACGGACAAGGCAAAGGCAGACAGTCTTTCCGTACAGTCCTTCGCTATCATTAAAATACTGGACACAGGGAATTTTGTTTTGGCCGTCTTCTCACTAGAGCTAGACAGACCGCCCCTTCTCCGATTTTTCTCCGATTTTTTCTGAGGGAAGGGGGCGGTACACAGGCTTTCTGGAACGGATAATCCCGTCTTCAAACTGTCCGTCCAAATTGACGGATAAAGTCAGGCGAATTGTTCATTCAAAATTAAAACTGTTCCATTTTCAAATTAAGACGTATAACCTATCTGACGCGAATCATCAAACAGTTAACCCGTCTCACACGAATGATCCGTCTATGGTGTGAAAACGGCCATTTCTGTTGTAATGAATGTTGCGCCCCGGCCTGGAGTTGGGCGTTCGGGTGTCGCTTTTGCTTTTTCACAAAGATTATTTTTAAATTGACTATTGACATTTCTATGGGTACAGTAATGTTAGAAGTGGAATACTTTATAAAAAGGATGATCTATCAAATGTTAAAATTTTTCAAAAGAATAGCTTATTTCATATCCCGAGATGAGCCGGAGACCTTTATTTTGATTTAAAGATATAAAAAATACAGGTTAATTAATAGTTAACTTTTTGAAACAAAGGAAGTTAATTTTAACTTTTTTGTTAACCGTAACTGAAAAAAATTAACCGATAGCCGTACAAGAGCCAAAATGTTAGCCGATAACCGTAGAAGCCACCACCCCATTGGAACCCTCGTTTGACGTTGAGCCTCGAAAATACCCAGATTGACTGGATTAATATGTGGGTTGAGTTTGTTGTTGGTTCTCCCCTTTGCTCCGAGAAGTTTTTCTTCGGGTCCTTCGGTTTTCTCTCTCTTCAACAACCAACGCTTCCAAATTCCAATTCGAAATGAAACGCACGGACACGTTTCAAAGAGTTCTCAAGAACTCCTTAGTTCTTCGGCTCGTGGGCAAACAAATTATAAAAAAAATGTACAACTTTCACGATTCGTAAATCGGCTTTAATCTTGCTAGGAGTTTTTTCAGTTTTGTTTAGGTTTTTATCAAGTCCATACAGAGTAAATATGTAATCAAAATACAGGTAAAGTAAAATCCACAGGCAAATTGTCGTATTGAATCTGACTTGTATCCAGACATCTTTCTCGGAGCAACCGACGGTGAGACCCCTCTCCATGATGCCTCCGTGCCGCCCCCTTTTCAGTCATTTACCTTGTCTCGATGCCTTGATGGTCCTCGATGCGTAGCCGCATATTGCTCAAAAGATTATTATCAAATCTTTCATTTCTAGTTTCGATTATTGAAAATTGTTAACCCCTTAAACCAGTAAACAAAATTCTATGGTTTGATGGCAGCGCTTTTGCTTCGAACAGGCTATTTGCTTCCCTGTTCTTTGACAAAATGAAACTGAAACATATTTTTACACTGAAGAATTTAGATTTGGGGCAGTGGGAAAAGGTTAAGTGCTTATGCTAGATGTCGCGCCATCCATTAGTGAATCCAGATATTTCTTTTTCAGGATGTCGATCAACGTTTTTTACAGTTTGGTTTTTAAATGCTTATTTGCTTTTCTTATTCGTCTGTCTAGACGCTAATTCAAGAAAAACAGACACCAAGTGGAAAGCAATTATAATAACAGTTTTTATTATATTATGTTATACACGGTCGAATATATACGTGAGAGTTTTTTTAAAAAATGATAATTATTCGTTTAGTTATTTTTGTTAAAAAAGATAGTTTTAGGGGGTTATCAACCAGGATATTCTCAAGTTTCTTCCTCTTTCAGCCTCCATATATCTCAAATTTTCCATTTTTTTACCATGTTATTTATGAAAATATTTGCGACGAATATTAATAAGCCATACACCATAACAGCGACACAGATGAGAGTTTTAGGTATGTTTTTTTCTTTGTCTGAGAATGTGTGTAATCAAGCTGCAAATAAACCAGTTCCCGCTTTTGTACTCTAAAGGTATGCCTATAAAGTGTACAATCGTTTCCCCTTTGCCCCAATTTTCATAACAGTGGTTAGGTCGGTATATAGGGCAAAAAACATTGTATAACTAAAAAAAGGTCATCATTGGGTCAACGGTTCGCGCCCTCTCCCCGTACAAAAACATATGCAAAGGGCGGGCCAAAATAAGAAGGCCTGGTTACAAAATCGGCTTGTAACAAAATGCATCCATCAAACAAGCAAGGCAAATTTTACTTTAAAACTAGGTGTAAAACATGTGGAATCAGAAGAAGCCAATCTTCTGTCGATTTTACGCCGAAAAAAATTATGCCTGTAAAACTTTTTTTTCGTCTAGAATAGTAAAGATCACGAAAAGCGTTTTAGCCGAGATCTGTTTCGGTGTCCTGGATAAATCTCGTAATGCTTTGTTTCTGTTCTGTTACGGTTAGGGTGAGAAAACCAAACAAAGATGACTTCTCATAAAACAAACAGACAACCGTTTATGGAAATTCCCTGTAGTAAGGGTGTACCAGACTGCAGATGTTTAGTTTAGGACTTAAAGGATGTGATACAGATCTTGCATTTTAAGTTATCCCAAGCGAAAGTCACTGATGCGGCCTAAGGACAGTCAATTGAGAGCGAGTTGCTGCGGTTGAAGCATGAATTGAACTGAAGGAGTTCAATACAACTTACGAAATATTGATTTGGCCCAGCTCCTGCTGGAAAACACTTTCAGGTAGACCTGTTTCTATAAAAGTATGTTTTTAGTTGTTTTTGCGTCGACTGCAAAGCTTTCTCCATTCTTTCGGCATTACGAAACTAGTTCCGAAATCCTGGAAACTGAAAAGCACAACATCTGAGAACAGTTTGAACTGCTTGTTCAGTTTCTCTTTAGACTTCGAATTAATTTGTCGGAGCATTATTACCGTAAATGGTCCAATAGACGCTATCTATAAAAAATGCCTCTTGCCTAGTATTCAACGCCTCGCTCTCTCTGCTGCGGGAACAAGAACAGTAAAAATGTTTTCTTTCGCTCGATTATGATATCACTTGAAAAAAAGCGTCTCGACTTGTAAATTTCCGGTAAACAAAGCGATTAAGTTCGGACCATGCTGAGAAGCGCCCTACTTGTGATTGGTCACGTTTTGACAGCTGACGTTATCGGATTAGGTGAGAAAATGGTGGGAGGAATACAAACACACAGGTTCTTACAGCAGGTGCTCCCTTCTCTTTTCCCCTTCGCCCTTTTCTCCCTTCCCCACACCCCCACCCCTCCCCTTTTTGCGTCTGCCACGCGGGCTAGCTCTGTACACTCGGTACAGCCTATACAGTCGGTACAGCCGGTACAGCCGGTACAGCCGGTACAGCCGGTACAACCGGTACAGCCGATACACTCGGTACAGCAGGTACAATCAGTACTCTTCGTACAGCCAGTCCTTCCAAGAGCTGGCTCTTGGTCCTTCCTAATACTGGCAGCAACAGCTGTCGTCGAAGGAGGATTCTTTGACCTCGACTTTAATTTACTTCATACAAGGCACACACACACTTGCTCGGATGAAAATTACTCAAAAGCCTAATAAACTGAGGAAGAGGGTCCAAAAAGTTGCTTGGCTGTACAAAACTATGAAATTGAGTATTATCGTGATGGGAAATAGTAACCGACTATCGACCTTGCCTAGTCCCTGTACGGCGTCTTTTCAGGCCCTCTCGGTCAATGCAATTCGGTGACGTATCCGAGACGAACGGCCGGGAGACTCCTAGACAATCTGGTAGTGCGCATGCGTGAGCATTTTTGAAAAGTTCACACGGTCAACTAAAATAATCTATAAATAACTTTGCGCGTGAATATCCTTCGCTAAAGATCGGCACTATTGACACTATTACAAAAGGAGTGTAGCTAAATGTCGTGGGTCGTGGGTAGTGGGTAGAGGTCGTGGGTCGTGGGTGTGAGTCATGGGTGTGGGTGTGGGTAAATGTCGTGGGTTAAAAAAGTATAGAAAAAATAAGAAAGTAAAAGTAAATGAAAAAAAATAAATAAATTGAAAAAGTTGTTAACTATTTATGAAACGAAAATCTCCAACTCCTTGACTGCCCTTTTCGTCACGGCCTCTTCTTAGTCCTCTTCCCGATATTTCCTTAGCCACGTGGGACTTGGCTCCCCTTTCACATCATCACTGTATAAAATACATTTCATGTTGCCGATGAAGATTTATCCATACCTGAACTATCACCGCGAAATAAACGAAACAGACGTAAATTATACGTGCAATTTGCAAAAAGTATGGGTCAACAGCTCTGACTCGCAGAATGAAAGTAGCTGCTCACTATTAATCTTTATTCGATTGACAATTCCAATGATCAGCGGAGATTTTTAACTTGATAGAATGCGATCACCGTAGGAAACGAAAGGGAAAAAGGACAATTTTGACTGAGGTATTTCATATTTTTGGATAGTCTTTGTCTTTTCTCTCTTTAAGTCTTTCTTAAAGAAGTTTTAGGCTAGCTAATAGCTTACAAAGGAAGCACCTTCATGCTCAACCTTTCAAGTTAAGGCGAGACTGTATGTAAATTTATTGCCGTACATAATTATAATTTTGTCGATTCTTTTTTTTTGTTGTTTTGTGTAGAAAATCCTTGCTGTAACGATTTTAAATATCATTCCTTTAACCGAAAGGACGTTTCAGTCACAAATGCTGACTTTTTTGAGAAAAAGCAGTTCAGTCTACCCCCTCTCCAGTTTTCTATAGCCTAGCTGCTTCAGGTTTACATAGTGCTAGAGTTTCTTTTATTTTAGAGTGCGTTTGTACTAAAGGATTCGCTTATTTGCTTTGCTGACGGCGGGTAAAGGGAATAGGACTGGCATGTAAGCGGAGATTTCGTTTCATGAATTTTACAACTCTTTGCCTAATTTTTTAATTTTAATTTTTTTTTGGAAAACTTTTTTTTTTACCCACGACATTTACCCACACCCACACCCACGACCTACACCCACGACCCACGACCTCTACCCACTACCCACGACCCACGACATTTAGCTACACTCTTACAAAAGTAACTAACCTAGTTCGTGTTATAAAAGAACAAAAATATTACTTTGAATCGGAGAGAATACTACTGTATAACGCAGTAGATACAGGGGTGTTACTTAACAGAGTAACGAAGCAACGAGTAACGAGTAACGGAGTAACGAGAAAACGAGTAACCGGTTAAAACATTCAAAAGGTTAAATAAATAAAATAAATAAATAAATAAAAATCTTAATAAATAAATAAATAAAAGAAATAAAAAATAAAACAAAATAAAATAAATAAATAAATAAAATAAATAATATAGTAAAATAAATAAATAAATCCTAATGAAAGAAAAAACATAAAAATAGTTCTAAAATCCTAAGAATGACCTTATTAAAACAATCTCGAAAATTAAGTGTATTCCAACGACGTCAACCTCCTCCCCACCCCCTCCCCTCCCTCCAACAAAGTCGAAGGTATTTTCGCGCCGAAAAAGTCACTTGACTGCGGCTGTTATTTTCTCACGGCCAGGAGGAGCAACCATGAAGGAAGGTAAGCGACAAATTTTCTTTCTTATTGCCACAATTAAACACATTTCTTTGTAGAAATACCTCTGTCCTCTGGGAGAAAACAAGGATTAAAGTGATACACTCTGAATCATTTAATTCTTTTTTTGAGGTAGGTAATACCAGGAAGAATGAAGATGTGAAAAATTAGAGTCCCAGAATGATGAATTTAGATGAGAAGGAAGAAACAACCTCGTTTCACGCATGAAAAATTTAAAATAATTTTCAAAAATAAGCGCCCACAGTACGCTTTGTCAGCGATATTCTGTTGCAAGAAGCCAGACTCTCAGCAAAAGATGGCGATCAAAACAAAATAGAGACGGAAAACGTTGCTTTTTTTACCAGAAATAATAAGCGAAGTGGTGCTTTTTGTACTGCTTTTATAGCAAAAATGGATGTATTTTTCCCTCTTTTATCGATGATTTGGTGGCCATTCAGGGGACGGATCATCACGTATACTTTGAACATCGATCGATGTTTAGAGAGGTCGGCACCACGGATTCAAATCAACAAAATGTTGAAGGTAGGCACGTCTGAGCTTTTTTGAAAGAATTAGATAGCTTAAGGAACGGTTCAAAGGTAACGGCCGTTCGTAAAATGTTTTGCTTGCAGCTCGTTGGCGAACGTCGGAGAGACTGCAAAACTAAACTAAATAATGATATGGTACGTACACTTTAAATTTAGAGTCGGGCAAATGTTGTATGTGTAGAAGAGCCCTCGTTCCCACTTCTGTCTTCTCCCACTTATAATCCCTTCGGGAAAGGAATGATCGTGTCTTCTAGACTTGCTTTAACGATCAATCTCTTATATTACGACCTATTAGGAGCTGAAATGGCACTTCCAGACGGTAATTTTTACAATCCTGTGTGACTACGAAGAGGGGCCTGCATTTGGCATAAGAAGTACTTTCCTTCATCTTCTTACAAAATTTAATTAATCCATACATTATAGTTATCACTGATGTCACGTGTAAGATTGTGGAAATGACGACACTTTCAGTTTAATTACTGGGTGAGTTGAGTGAAACCAAAGACGATCAACAATCAAAAAATTCAGGAACTGTCAAGTTCCTAAGCGCAGAAGAGAACCGAACCAGGTGTACTTTTTAGTTACTTAACCTGACATCAGGATTTATTGATTTATTTTATTATATTATTTGTTTATTTATTTTATTTTATTTTATTTTTTATTTCTTTTATTTATTCATTTATTAAGATTTTTATTTATTTATTTTATTTATTTAACCTTTTGAATGTTTTAACCCGTTACTCGTTTTCTCGTTACTCCGTTACTCGTAACTCGTTACTTCGTTACTCTGTTTAGTAACAGCCCTGTATAACGTGCAAGTAATTTCTCTTTCAGTCCATCTTCAAATGAACCATTAAAATGATAGTCGTTATTGATAAAAAGATTTGAAACAGCAGTTTGTTGTCATTCTACCAAATTTAGAGACCAAATTCTACAGCCTGTCCAATTAGCTTGATAAGCTTCCAAATCCAAAAATTAAATTACATAAAGTATTTCGAAGTGAAATGATAACGAGAAATTTATAGGAGCAAGCGAAAATAGAGAAACGAAAGATAGCTTGTCATATCCAAGAATAAATATAAACTTATTTCTTTAGCTTACCTTCCGATTCTTGATCAAATAATTTTTTTTGCGACGCTGTTTTGCTTAGCTTACAAATCGTTTTTTAGATGGAATAAAGTTCAAATTAGTTTAATGCGATAAATGAAAAAGAAAGGCCAAACGACTTTCAACAATGAAAACGTGCATAGAATAAAAATGCTCGTTCCTCTGTACACTGTACTCTCCATGGCTGCTGGAGATCTTTCATCAGCTCGGAAAAGTTATTGACTGCTCGCCCACTTCCAAAAGCTCCGCCCCAAGTGAGACAAAATGTCTCACTTCTCCGAGTTTGTCTAAGCCTCAAAAACTTTCTCGAACCAGGTGACCCGAAACGCATCGGCCTTGCATAATAATGAGGCCTAGAGACTAGGCAACTATCGACCGACTGTCGACCGACTATCGACCGCTATATCGACCGAGACCAACTATAGACCTCTATATCGACCGCTATATCGACCGATAGATCGGTTGACACTAAGGCTCGTGTTCAGCAGCCGGAAACAGGAGGCAAATTGTAGGATAATAACGTCAATCCCGAATGTTAGTCACGTATCTTAAGAAATAAGAGCAATTAATGCTAGTTGATCAACGTTGTCCAGACCAAAACGTTTGATGAACCACACTGGGGGGACACTGAGCTGTTGCTCGACGCCGACCATAACTTCTCGTTGCAGGGTTCGTGAACCTCTAATACTCATTTTAAAGGAAAAGCCATTTCCATGATTAATTCAGATATCTCACCGGCATCACTGAGATGTAGAAAAACTCTAACTTTTAGGCAATAGGAAACTTTTTTTTCGTGTTTGCATAGCCTGGAGAAAACACTTGAGGAATTCGAGACAGTTATCCAAACCCGAGGACAATGAGTTGAGCTGAGAACATTCCAGTACTCTCATAGCCCCAGAAGCTTTCATAACGTTGCTTGGCAAAACCAGGAAAAATGTCCTAAAAATAACGTTAGTCATCTCAAAAACACCGCAAAAATCAGATTTTTGGCAAACTTTTAATGGTAACTTCAACCGGTCTACACCAGAACAAGTTCCACAGATGAAAAATGTAAGTCGCAAATCTTTCTTCACTAAACTGGCAAAAAGCCTTTCTCGAAAATATTTTATCCTTTTAACAGGGCTTTAGTTTAAACCCTTTTAATGGTCTGAAGAAGTTCAGCAGTTTTGTTTCAAATATTTTAGGTGTCAAAAAATAATAAATGACCACTCGAAACCTTTGCCGCTGTTTTGGTTTATTCGAAGTAAACAACCGGGAGCTTCTGTTCTGAATTCTTAGAAATTTTTGAAAGTGTGCGACGAAGCGTTTCCTAGTTTCTACGAATCTCAAAGACTAGGGCAAACAATTGGACCCTTAATCGGAGATTATTATCGTCTATTTGTTGTTCAGGAGCAAAAGTCATAAACGTCATAAAACCGAAAGAAGAACTCAAGAAACTCAAAGGTGGAATGATTTTAAACTGTTCAGTAAAGCGATACCGTATCTGAACTAAGACTTACACTTGTTTATTTACCAAGGGGAATTAAAACTGAAAAGAAAAAAGAAAAGCAACAGTAAGGTGACTGGAAGATATGAATTTCACTGTACCTCGTATTTAATAACAACAATGCAGGCCTCGAGAAAAAATTGATTTCCTGTAAAGGTGAATTTAAAAGCTATATAAGAACCCCCACCCTCCTTTCCTTAGAGTCGCTTCCGCAAAAAAAATCACTGAGACAAAACATCAGTTGTGCTAATTTCCAACAGTAGCATGCTCGAGCGTGTCTATCACATTATTAGCGACCAATCACCCCTGCCCGTGACTAAGCAAGATTTTAGGATTAAGTCCTTGTCAACTGATTGCTTTCCTCGACATTTCAAGACTTGGGTGAGTTATAAATCGTGTATTACACGACTTATAGTAACTAGCTGGCTTGAGAGGAGTCCTTGTTTTCGCTATAATATGTTTGGAGCCGATTTAGCTCTACTTGACGAGAGCGACTACGCATTATTGCACTTCCAGCATCAGTCAAAACGAAAGCAAAATATCTTTAATTTTACCGCTAAGATGTTTCCGTATTTCAAGGGATTGTAAGTTGACGAAAAATCTTATTTAATCCCGTTTGTCAACCAAAGAAATAAGAGCAACAAACCAAGCAGAACTTGTGGCTCCGTTAGTAATACAGGCGCATTTACTTTGTCATCTACAGATTGATTCTTAGGTATTGGCATCATTGTCGTTCGTCTCAATGGCTGAAGTGCGAATGCCTCGCGGAACTACCGCCCGTGCTCATTTAATTGTAGCCATAAACAAAACTGCATGATCGACACTTCTATCTGAACTTTGATACAATACCTACATGTATACCTCTACCTATTTCCTGCATTAGAAGCAATGTACAGCAATAAAAGCCGATGAAGATGCACATGTATGTAGTAGAAGTTTCAGACAAAATTGCTAACGATATTCCCAAAAGGACATTCCCAAAAATGTCAAGAAACAAATCATTCTATTTCATAGCAAGGTTTGAAGCAATTTATAGTGTTTCCAAAACTAGAGTACCAGTACTGGTAATCGGCTTTAGATCTACGAATTCGTAAACATCGGGGCTTGTCTCGAAACTTCGATATGATGGCGCGTTCTACCTCAAAGAAATTCGTTTCAAAATCCCAAAGCAATTTCACAGCTGAATTATGAACGACTTTCTAATTTAACGATTTTTGTGGGATTTATATGACTTATAAAAGCTGATACCTGAATTTTCAGTCAAAAATGTCAGAAATTTTTTTAACCAGACGCGCTTTTCTTTGAACAGTAAGCTCCACTCAATCGCTAAAGTTCGTAAAATAAGCACCTCTAAGAAAATATATAAATTGGGCACCATTTAGTTATGGCAAATAACACTGTGGCGTTCTACACTATTTATATTATTCTATCATTGCTATTATCAGTACGAAGGTAACTAACTACGTGTTTGGTGGTAAAGGCCTTTTTGTGTATGTCACTCGCGATGAGCCGTAACTTACCAGATGTTTTTCTTTTTAGAGTCTGTTGAATGAAAGGTACCGAAAGTTGTTTTCCTGTGTCAAGATATTTTCGTGTTTGACAAACTGAACAGTATTTTACTGGTGGAATTTGAATGCATAGAGCGTGCAATTAGCTTTTGTTTTCTTGTTTTTCTTGGAATGGTTTGCATAAAATAAATTGTGAAGACATCAATTTTTTCAAGCACCTGCAAATAATATTTTGCCAACAATTCCATGTAACGGTTGTTTACTTTCGTTGCCGAGGACACTCTTCTGCAAGAACTTCCACAAACTGTACGGTAAGATATAAGCTGTTATCCTAGACTTAATAATAATTTCCATCTTTTCCACCTTTTGGGTCGGTCTTGTTGAGAAAGGAGAGGAAAGAGACTCCGCTTCAGTGCACTTATGCATCCGCAAGCAAATTTTCTCTTGGTATCAGTTCACTTTAGAAGATTCTCAAAGAAAACCATTACTGTCTACAACAACATTTTAAAGATGTTTCAATCTGATTAGGAATTTTAAAATCCCACAGACAATTTTCCATAATTCGCAACGGGTTACAAGCATTGGCATTATTGATAAAGAGGACATAATAGCGAAAGCGGAAATTGATATCAGCGTCGGAATGAGTGCTTCCACTTATTCATCGACGAAAACATAAGGTGACGGAATTAAGGATTATACCGGCAAGCGCCCTTTAGTTTGGTATCTTGAGTGATACGAGCGCTGGCGAGTTTAATTTCTTCGGTGGGAAAAGTCGCAGGGAAAACTGGAATTCTGTCCATTACAAGGGACTTGTATGTTTCGAAAGTGAATTAGTAATAACCCGGCTACGATCAAAAATAAATGCTTCCCGAAATTCGTGAATAATCCCCATTCAGTTAAGAAAGGAATAGACCCAGCTTTTCATTCATGACGGCAAAGAAGAAATGACATTTAATTTCCAGAGAACTGATTCAATGACTTGAATAGGGCCTCGTTGCCATAGCGAAATCCTCCCCAGTACATGTTAACAAACTGGAATTTTGGCTTAAGTATTTTAGCTGTCTCATATCGTTAGCTAGACTTGTACAATGGCTAAGAAGAATTACAAATAAAAATTAAATTAAAACATATTTTCCACTCGAAAATAAATTCATAGAAAGCTTAGTATATAAGTTTTCTTTTTTTTTTTTCTTGGAATCGCCTATATTACAAAATGAATGTATTTTCTATGAAAAGAACCAATTATAATAACCAGTCGACGTAAACACGGCTACCTGGGGGTTCGGCACTGTTACAAACTCTTCCAACTCTTACGTGAGCTATTTTATTGTAAACTAGAACAATTAGTCATTTCCAGCTTGAGTAGCAAGAAAGAATCCTTGCAGCTTCTTCCGCACAAGATATTTTTCTCGCATTTTACTCTTTAAACTGACAGAACTGAACAAACCGTCTTAATCACTTAATTAACTAAACGAGTCAGTTAACTTTCTTTACCCTAAAAAAGTGGCAGAAGCCTTGGGGCAGAAGGAACTTGAATTTGCTTCAGTCTTACAAGGGATCGTTAAAACTACGCACACTGAGACATCAGTTTCTGCCACCATTCAGTATTGATAATGAATAGCATTAACCATCGCAGCAAAAAATATGTATGAGTACTCAGAGACTGATAGATACCCCTTCTAAAACCATGGCAACGGTCTGTACGTCTCAGCACAGTGCCAAATCAGTCCAAGTTTTAAAATGTTATGAATGAAGATGTCAGGGCATTAAAAGACGCTTAAGAAAAACCTAAACACCCAAAAGAGTACATCAGGTATTTTGTCGAAAAATTCTGAAACTTGTTAACTTAAAGCCAAAATGACATTATGCCCTAACTCACTGTTCGTGGAGTTCTCGATACGATGAACAAGTATTACCTACGATTGTGAGGGTGACCTGTCTCCCGTGATATTAATAAACTCGTGAACTCGTGAAATTAGGGAATAATTTCACTCGTCACCATCCGATTACACATATGAATGTCGTAGTGGCGGGAAATATGTTGACAAATGTTAGAAATTTTATCATTTTGCAATCGGGAGAGGGCTTAACCTCCTTCAATAAAGATAACAGTGCTAACTTTTCTGGTGAGCCGGGGAATACGCAAACAAACTTTAACTCAAATCTCGTCCTCCATTCTAAAGTCTCTAATGTTGTATTCAGCGAGGAAAAGTAATAGTGTAGAAATATATCAGTAACCTTCCTTTTTAATTACGTATTTTTAAAAGTGTACAAATCCTACTGATATGACTTGCTTCAGAACAAAGAAACAAAAAGTCTGTGTGTGCTTGACTTTTAAGTAGTATAAGTTAAGTAACAGTGATGAAAACCAAAACTATTTAAAAATTATAAAAGGCCCTCTTTAAATATAGGTCTTCAATGAATCTTTCCAATGTTATTTAGCTCAAGGTTCCATACTTTAGGGTGCGTTTTATTGAACGTATTCCGGAAAAAGAATACGCAAGACTTTAACAAATCGTTTGAACCGTGATTTTTCGACAACATAAATGCAAGCAGACTTATGATCACTTATAGCCGAACACGAATGATTTGTAGAGTTTATTCCATTTATTCTAATTCCGAAATAACGTCAATGGCACATGCCTTCAGGGGCACCAGCGCCAACCTGTCCTCCAATGTTTATGCAAGACAATATATAGCTTTATATAATCTATGTAGTCACGGCTTTTACTGGTCTGTTAGACTTATCAAAAGAAATAAAAACTTGTGTGCAATGGCTCAAAAAGTAGACTTACAAACTAAAAAATGACAAAGGCAAAAAGAATTAATTAAAAGATTCTTTTGGGATATTTTATTATGCAAAGCATTTTCGTAATTCACAAAACAGTATTTTCACACTCAAATTGAAATTCATAGAGCGCCGAAATTTAAAATCTAAAGCTGTTATCCATTTTTTCTTGGAATCACTTCCATACAATAAATACAAGACAAAGCATCAATAGCGCTGCGCGCAGTTATTACTTATAGACCCGAAACTCAGACAAACAAGCTGAAATTAATATTAGCGAATGCCTCACTTTTGTGAGACTTTCAGAAATTGCAAATTAGTCACTTTGACGTCATTCGTGCGCTACGCTATAGATCCAATCAGCAAGGAGCGTTTGCATCACACGATTACATCAACGAAACGATAACTAGCTTACCATCTTTATTTTGCCAACAAGTCCACGCTGCAGGCGTTTTTTACTTTCGTTGCAGCTAACACCTCTGCTAAGACTTCCACGAACTGTTAGGTGAGCCATCAGTTTTTATCCGAGACTAATAATTTCCATCTCTTAAACAATTTGTTTAAGTTTATAGGTTTTGCTCTTATCTAGAAAACAAAGGAAAGAGACTCTGCTTTAAAGCACGTCTGTATTATTTTCTCTTGGTATCAGTTAAATTAGAAAACCTTCAAAGGAAAACCAGTAGTATCTTTAACTTTCCTCTTTAGATCTGTTTAGGAATTTTAAAACGCCACAACCACTTTTCCATGTCGTAATAGGTGTGAGCATCAGTGTGGATAATAAAATAAATAATATAAAGAGCACGTAAAATCGAAAGCGGAAATAATGAACGAGTTCTCAAAGAAATCACTTGTCCATCGACGAAACCTTTACGGGAAGGAATTGAGGAGTATAAAATCAAGCCCCTATTACTAAGGCATTTTGTCGGAGAAAGGGCGCTCCGAGTTGAACTTCTCTCTTATGGGAAAAGTCGCAAAAACGGGCAACACGAAATTCTGCACATATAGGCGACTTGAATTTACCGAAAGACATCTGGAATGTTGCAGTAATGAACCAGCCGCGATGAAACAAGTTATGGCTCCTGAAGTTGGTGAACATTCAATCCCCATCCACGAAATGAACCGGCCCAGATTTTCATTTATGACGGCAGAGTGATTTTTCCGCCGGAGAAGAGCATTTACTATTAAGATACAGATAACTGATTCACTGACTTAAAAAGAACCCCGTAGCCATTACAAAATCCACCCAGTGCAGTGCCTGGGTAATGTTAACCAAAGATAACTTTGGCTCAAGTATTTTAAAATAGTTCTTTTATACCATTAGACTTGTTCAGTTGTCATATATCACCTAGAACTGAAAGTAAAAATGAAATTGAAATTAAAAGAATATTTCCCACTCGAAATTAACTAAATTCATAGAAAGCTTAGGCTGTCGATTACTTTTTCTTGGAATTGCTTATATTACAAAATAAAAACATTTTCTAGGACAAGGGTAAATTGTGCCAAGCAATAATTATTGCTGACGTCAATAAGGCCATCCGAGAGAGCGGCGGAAATCGAGCTTTTTGACGAGAAAGGAGAGGAAAGAGACTTTGCTTTAGTGCACGTCTGTATCGGCAAGAACATTTTCTCTTGGTATCCGGTTCACTTAGAAGACCCTCAAAGAAAACCAGTACTGTCTTCAACAATCTTTTAAACATGTTTCAATCTGATTACGAGCAACTTTCCATTTGGCAATGGGGAACAAGCATCTCCTATTCGGTATTGATAAAGAGCGCATAATAGCGAAAAAGGAAACTAATATCAGTGAATGAGTGCTGAATTAAGGAGTATACCGGCAATCAAGCACCTTATAGTTTGATATCTTGAAAATGATAAGAGCGCTGGCGAGTTAAATTTCTCCGGTGGGAAAAGTCGCAGGCAACACCGCAATTCTGTACATTACAAGCGACTTGCAAATTCGAAAGTGACTTAGTAATGAGCCGGCTGCGATCAAAAATAAATGTTTCCCGAAATTCGTGAACCTCTAATCCCCCTTTAATTAAGAAATAATGGACCCAGCTTTTCATTCATGACGGCAAAGAAGAAATGACATTTCATTTCCTGATAACTGATTCAATGACTTGAATAGCATCGTAACCATAGCAAAATCCTTCCCAATGCATGTTACGAACTGGAACTTTGGCTCACGTATTTTAGCTGTCTGATACCGTTAGACTTGTACAGTTACTAAAAGGAATTAAAACTAAAAATGAAATTAACATAAAAGATATTTTCCTCTCGAAAATAAATTCATAGAAAAATTATTATATAAGTTTTTGTTCTTGGAATCGCCTATATTACACTAAATAAATACATTTTCTAAGAAAAGAAGCAATATAATTGTAATTTCACAATTGCCATGGCAACGTTCCGTACGTCTCGGTGCCAAATGCGTCCACGTTTTCAAACGTTATGAAAGAATGTTTCAGGGCATTAAAAGACGCTTAAGAAAAACCTAAACACACGAAAGAGAACATCAAAGAGAATTCTAACATGTAGTTTGTCGAAACATTCAGAAACTTGTAAACCTAAGCCAAAGGTATGCCCTAAACTTTTCAGTGCGTGGAGTTCTCGATACGATAAACAAGCGACTACCCATGATTGTGAGGGTAACTTGTCACCCATTTTGTCAATAAGTAATAATAAAAACGGTAAACTCGTGAAAATAGGGAATAATTTCACCATAACGTCCTGGCAAACAAAAAACAAACATAACTTCATCTTCTGAAAAGAAACAGTAAAGTGACTGAAAGATATGAATTTCACTGTACCTCGTATTTAGTAACAACAATGCCGGCCTCGAGAACAAATCGATTTCCTGTAAAGCTGAATTTAAAAGCGATATAAGAACCCCCACCCTCCTTTCCTTAAAGTCGCCTCCGCCAAAAAAATCACTGAGACAAAACATCAGTTGCGCTAATTTCCACCAATAGCATGCTGGAGCGTGTCTATCACAAAAATTTAGGATTAAGTCCTTGTCAACTGTTTGCTTTCATCGGCAGTTCGGTCTTGGTAACGATCATCTCCACAAAGACTTAGGTGAGTTATAAATTGTGTATCAAGACCTATAGTAACTAGCTGGCTTGAGAGGAGTCCTTGTTTCCGCTATGATATGTTTGAAGCCGGTTTAGCTCTCTTGATGAGAGCGACTGGGTCTTATTGCACTCCCGGAATCAGTCAAAACCGGAAAACAGAAATGACTTTAATTCTGTCGGTAAGATGTTTCAGTATGTCAAGGGATTGTAAGTTGACGAAAAATCTGATTTAGTCTCGTTTGTCAACCAAAGAAATAAGAGCAATAAACCAAGAAGAACTTAAGGTGGCTCCGTTAGCAATACAGGCGCATTTACTTTGCGATATTTCGTAGGTATTAGGATCATTGTCGTTCGTCCCCCGGGCTGAAGTGCAAATGCCTCGCGGAACTACCGCCCGTGCTTATTTAATTGTAGCCATAAACAAAACTGCATGCTCGACACTTCTATCTGAGCTTTGATACAATACCTAATTCTTGAATTAGAAGCAATGTAAAGCAATAAAAGCCGATGAAGATGCACTGCAATACATCAAAATGTATGTAGTAGTTGTTTCAGCCAAAATTGCTAAGGATATTCCCAAAAGGATATTCCCAAAAATGTCAAGAAAGAAATCATTCTATTTAAAGGCAAGGTTTGAAGCAATTTATAGTGCTTCCAAAGCTAGAGTACCAGTTTTAAAGTATACCACCATTGGCAATCGGCTTTTGATTTACGAATTCGTAAACATCGGGGCTTGTCTCGAAACTGGCTCGTTCTACCTCAAAGCAATTCGTTTCAAAATCCCAAAGCAATTTCACAGCTGAATTTTGAACGACTTTCTAATTTAACAATTTTTGTGGGATTTATATGGCTTATAAAAGCTGATACTTGAAATTTCAGTCAAAAATGTCAGCAAATTTTTTTACCAGACGCGCTTTTCTTTGAACAGTAGGCTCCACTCAATCGCTTAGAGTTCGTAAAAAATATTAACCGTAAGTAAAATGTTAATTTGCCAGTTTAGCAAAGTGGCCTTTTCATAAACAATTGGTAAACGTTACAACTTCTAAAAAATTATAGGCTTTTATGTTAAGCACCACTAAGAAAATGACAGGCAAACAGGGGTGAAAAGAATAAATAGGAAATAAGAAAAATAAATTGGGCACCATTTAGTTATGGCAAATAACACTGTGGCGTTCTACACTGTTTATATTATTCTGTCACTGCTATTATCAGTACGAAGGTAACTGACTACGTGTTTGGTGGTAAAGGCCTTTTTGTATATGTACCTCGCGATGAGCCGTAACTTACCAGATGTTTTTCTTTTTAGAGTCTGTTAAATGAAAGGTACCGAACGTTGTTTTCCCGTATCAAGATATTTTCGTGTTTGACAAACTGAACAGTATTTTATTGGTGGAATTTGAATGCATAGAACTTGGACAGCTTTTCTTTTCTTGTTTTTCTTGGAATGGTTTGCATAAAATAAATTGTGAAGACATCAATTGTTTCAAGCACCTGCTGATAATATTTCACCAACAATTCCACGTAACTGTTATTTCCTTTCGTTGCCGAGGACACTCCTCTGTAAGGACTTCCACAAACTGTACGGTAAGATATAAGTTGTTATCCTAGACTTAATAATAATTTCCATCTTTTCCACCTTTTGGGTCGGTCTTGTTGAGAAAGGAGAGGAAAGAGACTCCGCTTCAGTGCACTTATGTATCCGCAAGCAAATTTTCTCTTGGTATTAGTTCACTTAGAAGACTCTCAAAGAAAACCATTACTGTCTACAACAACATTTTAAAGATGTTTCAATCTGATTAGGAATTTTAAAATCCCACGGACAATTTTCCATTTCGCAACGGGTTACAAGCATTGGCATTACTGATAAAGAGGACATAATAGCGAAAGCGGAAACTGATCATCAGCGTCGGAATAAGTGCTTCCACTTTATATTCATCGACGGAAACACAAGGTGACGGAATTAAGGATTATACCGGCAAGCACCCTTTCGTTTGGTATCTTGAGTGATACGAGCGCTGGCGAGTTAAATTTCTTCGGTGGGAAAGTCGCAGGCAAAACCGGAATTCTTTCCATTACAAGGGACTTCTATATTTCGAAAGTGAATTAGTAATAACCCGGCTGCGATCAAAAATAAATGCTTCCCGAAATCCGTGAATAATCCCCATTCAATTAACAAAGGAATAGACCCAGCTTTTCATTCATGACGGCAAAGAAGGAATGACATTTAATTTCCGGATACCTGATTCAATGACTTGAATAGGGCCTCGTTGCCACAGCAAAATCCTCCCCAGTGCATGTTAACGAACTGGAATTTTGGCTTAAGTATTTTAGCTGTCTGATATCGTTAGACTTGTACAGTTACTAAGAAGAATTAAAACAGTTACAAAAAAATTAAATTAAATTAAAACATATTTTCCACTCGAAAGTAAATTCATAGAAAGCCTAGTATATATAAGTATTCTTTTTTTTTCTTGGAATCGCCTATATTACAAAAATAAATATATTTTCTAGGAAAAGAACCAATTATTTCTATTTTTCAGTTGACGTCAACACGGATACGTGGTGGTTCGGCACTGTTACAACCTCCTCGAACTCTTAGGTGAGCTATTTTCCTGTAAACTACAACAATTAGTTATTTCCAGCTTGAGCAGTACGAAAGAATCCTTGCAGCTGCTTCCGCCCAAGACATATGTTTCTCGCATTTTACTCTCTAAACTGACAGAACTGAACAAACCGCCTTCACTAAAAAAGTCAGTTAAGTTTCTTTAACCTAAAAACGTGGCAGAAGCCCGGAGGCAAAAGTAACTTGCATTTGCTTCAATCTGACAATGGATCATTAAAACTACGCAGATTGAAACATCAGCTTCTGCCACCACTCAGTAGTGATAATGAATGGCATTAACCATCGCAGCAATAAAGATACCCCTTTCTAAAACCATAGAAACGTTCCGTACGTCTCAGTGCAGTGCCAAATTAGTCCAAGTTTTAAAATGTTATGAATGAATATGTAAGGGCATTAAAAGACGCTTAAGAAAATCCCAAACAGACGAAAGAGTACATCAAGAAGAATTCTAACAAGTATTTTGTCGAAAAATTCTGAAACTTGTTAACCTAAAGCCAAAATGACATTATGCCCTAACTCACTGTGCGTGGAGTTCTCGATACGATAAACAAGTACTACCCACGATTGTGAAGGTAACTTGTCACCCGTGATATTATTAGGACGGTAATAAAATGGTAAACTCGTGAAATTAGGGTATAATTTCACTCGTCACCATCCGATTACACATATGAATGTCGTAGTGGCGGGAAATATGTTAACAAATGTTAGAAGTTTTATCATTTTGCAATCGGGAGAGGGCTTAACCTCCTTCAAAAAAGATAACGGTGCTAACTTTTCTGGTGAAAAAACAACATCAATGAAGCTTTCCGGGTGTCTATTTTTAGAGCCGGAGAATACGCGAACAAACTTTTAAGTCAAAGTCTCCTTTTTACTTACGTATTTTTAAAAGTGTACAAATCCTACTGATATGACTTGCTTCAGAACAAAGAAACAAAAATTCGGTGTGTACTTGACTATTAAGTAGTATAAGTTAAGTAACAGTGATGGAAACCAAAACTATTTAAAAATTATAAAAAGCCTCCTTCAAATATAGGTCTTCAATGAATCTTTCCAATGTTATTTAGCTAAACGTTCCATACTTTAGGGTGCGTTTTATTGAGCGTATTCCGGAAAAAGAATACGCAAAAGTCTTCTAACAAATCGTTTGTACCGTGATTTTTCGACAACACAAATGCAAGCAGATTTATAGCCGAACACAAATGATTTGTAGAGTTTATTGCATTAATTCTAATTCCAAAATAATGTCAATCGGACATGCCTTAAGGGCCACCAGCGCCCCAACGTGTAATATGAGACATTATATAGCCTTATATAATATATGTTGTCACGGCTTTTACTGGTCTGTTAGACTTATCAAAAGAAATAAAAGCTTATGTGAAATGGTTCAAAAAGAAGACAAAAAATGACAAAGGCAAAAAGAATTAATTAAAAGATTCTTTTGGGATATTTTATGATGCAAAGCATTTTAATTCGTAATCAGTCTCCAAACAGCATTTTCACACTCAAACTGAAATTCATAGAGCGCCGAAATTTAAAATCTAAAGCTGTTATCCGTTTTTTTTCTTGGAATCACTTCGATACAATAAATACAAGACAAAGCATCAATAGCGCTGCCCGCAGCTACCACTTATAGACCCGAAACTCAGACAAACAAACTGAAATTAACGTTAGCGAATGCCTCACTTTTGTCTGACTTTTGTCATTAAAATCTCATGTCTGCTTATCTTTTGTCATTAAAAAAATGAGAAAAATGACAAAACTCGGATAAAAATTTTAAATTAGTCACTTTTTTAATGACGTCATTCCTTCGCTACGCTGTCGATCCAATCAGCAAGGAGCGTAAGCATCACTTGATTACATCAACGAAACCATAACTAGCTTACCATCTTTAGTTGCCAACAAATCCACGCTGCAGGCGTTTTTAACTTTAGTTGCAGCTAACACCTCTGCAAAGACTTCCACGAACTGTTAAGTGAGCCATCAGTTGTTATCCTAGACTAATAATTTCCATCTCTTCCTCAATTTGTTTAAGTTTATAGGTTTTGGTCTCACTTAGAAAACAAAGGGAAGAGACTCTGCTTTAAAGCACGTCTGTATGTATTTTTTCTTGGCATCAGTTAACTTAGAAAACCTTTAAAGGAAAACCAGTAGTATCTTTAACTCTGCTGTTTAGATCTGTTTAAGAATTTTAAAACGCCACAACCACTTTTCCATGTGGTAATAGGTTACGAGCATCGCGGTATGGAGAATAAAATAAATAATATAAAGAGCACATAAAATCGAAAGCGGAAAAGATCAACGAGTTCTCAAAGAAATCACTTGTTCATCGACGAAAATATTACGGGAAGGAATTGAGGAGTATAAAATCAAGCACTTATTAGTTGGGTATTTTGTCTGAGCAAGGGCGTTCCGAGTTGAACTTCTCTCTGATGGGAAAAGTCGAAGAAAAGGGCAACACGAAATTCTGCACATATAGGCGACTTGAATTTACCGAAAGACATTTGGACAGATGTTGTAATGAGCCGGCGCGATGAAACAAGTTATGGCTTTCTGAAGTTTGTGAACATTCAATCCCCATTCGCGAGAAGAACGGACCTAGCTTTTCATTTGTGACGGCAAAGTGACTCTTCCGCCGCAGACTAAGAGCCTTTAATATTAAGATACAGATAACTGATTCAGTGACTTGAAAAGGACCGCGTAGCCATTACAAAATTCACCCAGTGCAGTGCCTGCGTAATGTTAACCAAAGAGAACTTTTAAAGTGGCTCAAGTACTTTTAAATGGTTTGTTTATACCATTAGACTTGTTCAGTTGTCATATATCACCTAGAATTGAAAGTAAAAATGAAATTGAAATTAAAAGGAATTTTACCACTCGAAATTAACTGAATTCGTAGAAAGCTTAGGCTATCGATTACTTTTTCTTGGAATCGCTTATATTACAAAACAAATATATTTTCTAGGACAAGGGTAAATTGTGCCAAGCACCAATTATTGCTGTAAGGCCACCTGAGAGAGCGGCGGAAATCGAGCTTGTTGACGAGAAAGGAGAGGAAAGAGACTTTGCATTAGTGTACTTCTGTATCCCGGGCACGAATATTTTCTCCTGGTATCAGCTCACTAAGAAGACCCTCAAAGAAAACCAGCACTGTCTTCAACAATCTTTTAAACATGTTTCAATCTGATGACGAATTTTGAAAACCCACCAACAACTCTCCATTTGCCAGTTGGTTACAAGCATCTCCTATTCGGTATTGATAAAGAGCACATAATAGCGAAAGCGGAAACTAATATCAGTGAATTTAGTGCTGAATTAAGGAATATACCGGCAATCAAGCACCTTTTAGTTTGGTATCTTGACAACGATAACAGCGCTGACGAGTTAAATTTCTCCGGTGGTAAAAGTCGCAGGCACCACGGCAATTCTGTACATTACATTCAAGTGATTTGCAGATTCGAACGTGAATTAGTAATGAGCCGGCTGCGATCAAAAATAAATGTTTCCCGAAATTCGTGAACCTCTAATCCCCATTTAATTAAGAAAATAATGGACCTAGCTTTTCATTCATGACGGCAAAGAAGAAATGACATTTCATTTCCTGATAACTGATTCAATGACTTGAATAGCATCGTAACCATAGCAAAATCCTTCCCAATGCATGTTACGAACTGGAACTTTGGCTCACGTATTTTAGCTGTCTGATACCGTTAGACTTGTACAGTTACTAAAAGGAATTAAAACTAAAAATGAAATTAAAGTAAAAAATATTTTCCTCCCAAAAATAAATTCATATAAAAATTATTGTATAAGTTTTTGTTCTTGGAATCGCCTATATTACACAAAATAAATACATTTTCTAAGAAAAGAAGCATGAATATCATTATAATTTCACAATTGCCATGGCAACGTTCCGTACGTCTCGGTGCCAAATGCGTCCAAGTTTTCAAATGTTATGAAAGAATGTGTCAGGGCATTAAAAGACGCTTAAGAAAAACCTAAACACACGAGAGAGAACAAATGTGGCCTAAGGCAAATCTCGACCACATTTCCAAATTTTATTTTCTAAAATTTTGACAAACAAATAGCATCATGCGAAAGAACAGGCAGAGAGCTTTCATTTGAATGGTCACATCATAGGATTTTGTCCACAGACTCAAAAGTTAGAGTCACCTTACAAAACTCTATCAAAAACTCTGGCAGTGAAAGAGTTAAAGTAGGCTCTTGTTCAGCAGCCGGAAACAGGAGGAAAATTACAGGATAATGTCGTCAATCCCGAATGGTAGTCACGTATCTTAAGAAGTAAGAGCAATAACTGCCAGTTGATCAACGTTCTCCAGACCAAAACGTTTGATGAACCACACTAGGGGGACAATGAGCTGTTACTCAAAGCCGACCATAATTTCTCGTTACAGGGTTTGTGAACCTCTAATACTTATTTTTAAGGAAAAGCCATTTCCATGATTAATTCAGATATCTCACCAGCATCACTAAGTTGTAGAAAAACTTTAACTTTTAGGCAATAGGAAATTCTTTTTCGTGTTTCCATAGCCTGGAATAAACACTGGAGGTTGTTTGGAGAATTCAAGACAGTTATCCAAACCCGAGGGTAGTGAATTGCGCGGAGAACATTCCAGAACTCTCCAAGCCCCAGAAGCTTTCATAATGTGGCTTGGCAAAAACAGGAAAAATTTCTTATTTCTTTTTTTATAACAATAACGTTAGTCATCTCAAAAACACTGCAAACTGAATCAGATGTTTGACAAATTTTTAATCGTAACTTTAACCGGTCTACACCAGAACAAGTTCCACAGATGAAAAATTTGAGTCGCAAATTTCTCTTCACTAGACTGGCGAAAAACCATGTCCATTTACTAAGGGAAATTAAAACTGAAAATAAAAAAGAAAAGAAACAGTAAGGTGACTGAAAGATATGAATTTCACTGTACCTCGTATTTAATAACAATAATGCCGGCCTCGAGAACAAATCGATTTCCTGTAAAGCTGAATTTAAAAGCTATATAAGAACGCCCACCTCAGGGTTTCCTTAGAGTCGCTTCCGCCAAAAAAATCACTGAGACAAAACATCAGTTGCGCTAATTTCCACCAATAGTATACTAGAGCGTGTCTATCACATGATTATCGACCAACACCCCTGCCCGTGACTGGGCAAAATTTTAGGAGTCCTTGGCAACTGTTTGCTTTCATCGGCAGTTCGGTCTTGGTAACGATCATCTCCACAAAGACTTAGGCGAGTTATAAATTGTGTATCAAGACCTATAGTAACTAGCTGGCTTGAGAGGAGTCCTTGTTTCCGCTATGATATGTTTGAAGCCGGTTTAACTCTACTTGATGAGAGCGAGTGGGTCTTATTGCACTACCGGAATCATTCAAAACCAGAAAGCAGAAATATCTTTAATTCTGTCGGTAAGATGTTTCAGTATTTCAAGGGATTGTAAGTTGACGAAAAATCTGATTTAATCTCGTTTTTCAACCAAAGAAATAAGAGCAACAAACCAAGCAGAACTTAAGGTGACTCTGTTAGTAATACAGGCGCATTTACTTTGCGATATACAGATCGGTTTGAAGGTATTGGCATCATTGTCGTTCGTCACCCTGGCCGAAGTACGAATGCCTCGCGGAACTACCGCCCGTGCTCATTTTGTAGCCATAAACAAAACTGCATGCTCGACACTTCTATCTGAGCTTTGATACAATACCTATACCTATACCTAATTCTTGAATTAGAAGCAATGTACAGCATTAAAAGCCGATGAAGATGCAAAATGTATGTAGCAGGTGTTTCAGCCAAAATTGCTAAGGATATTCCCAAAAATGTCAAGAAACAAATCATTTTATTTCATAGCAAGGTTTGAAGCAATTTATAGTGCTTCCAAAGCTAGAGTACCAGTTTTAAAGTATACCACCATTGGCAATCGGCTTTTGATTTACGAATTCGTAAACATCGGTGCTTGTCTCGAAACTTCGATATGATGGCTCGTTCGACGTCAAAGCAATTCGTTCCAAAATCCCAAAGCAATTTCACAGCTGAATTTTCAACGACTTTCCAATTTAACGATTTCTGTAGGATTTATATGACTTATAAAAGCTGATACCTGAAATTTCAGTAAAAAATGTCAGCAAATTTTTTTAACCAGCCGCGCTGTAAGCTCCACTTAATCGCTGAGTTCGTAAAAATGTTAACCTTAAGTAAAATTTTAATTTGCCCGTTTAGCAAAGTGGCCTTTTCATCAACAATTGGTAAACTTTCCAACTTCTAAAACATTAAAGGCTTTTATATTAAGCATCACTAAGAAAATGACAGACAAATAGGGGTGAAGAAAATAAATAGGAAATAAGAAAAATAAATTGGGCACCATTTAGTTATCGTGGCAAATAACACTGTGGCATTCTACACTATTTATGTTATTCTATCATTGCTATCATCAGTAGGAAGGTAACTAACTACGTGTTTGGTGGTATATGTCACTCGCGATGAGCCGTAACTTACCAGAAGTTTTTCTTTTTAAAGTCTGTTGAATGAAAGGTACCGAACGTTGTTTTCCTGTATCAAGATATTTTCCTGTTTGACAAACTGAACAGTATTTTACTGGTTGAATTTGAATGCATACAGAGCTTGCAAAGATTTTATTTTTCTTGGTATGGTTTGCATAAAATAAATCGTGAAGACATCAATTGTTTCAAGCACCTGCTGATGATATTTTGCCAACAATTCCACGTAACTGTTATTTACTTTCGTTGCCGAGGACACTCCTCTGTAAGGACTTCCACAAACTGTACGGTGAGCTATAAGTTGTTATCGTAGACTTACTACTTAATAATTTCCATCTTTTCCATCTTTTGGGTCGGTCTTGTTGAGAAAGGAATTGAAAGAGACTCCGCCTCGGTGCACTTATTTATCCGCAAGCAAATTTTCTCTTGGTATCAGTTCACTTAGAAAACTCTCAAAGAAAACCATTGCTGTCTACAACAACATTTTAAAGATGTTTCAATCTGATTAGGAATTTTAAAATCCCACAGACAATTTTCCATTTCGCAATGGGTTACAAGCATTGGCATTACTGATAAAGAGGACATAATAGCGAAAGCGGAAACTGATATCAGTGAATGAGTGCTTCCACTTATTCATCGACGGAAACTTAAGGTGACGGAATTTCAAGCACCTTTTAGTTTGGTATCTTGAGTGATAAGAGCGCTGGCGAGTTATATTTCTTCGGTGGGAAAAGTCGCAGGCAAAACTGGACTTCTGTCCATTACAAGGGACTTGTGTGTTTCGAAAGTGAATTTATTTAGTAATGACCCGGCTGCGATCAAAAATAAATGCTTTCCGAAATTCATGAATAATCCCAATTCAATTAAGAAAGGAATAGACCCAGCTTTTTATTCATGACGGCAAAGAAGAAATGACATTTAATTTCCAGATACCTGATTCAATGACTTGAATAGGGCCTCGTTGCCATAGCAAAATCCTCCACAGTGCATGTTAACGAACTGGATTTTTGGCTCAAGTATTTTAGCTGTCTGATATCGTTAGACTTGTACAGTTACTAAGAAGAATTAAAACAGTTACTAAAAAATTAAATTAAATTAAAACATATTTTCCACTCGAAAACAAATTCATAGAAAGCTTAGTATATATATTAAGTTTTTTTTTCTTGGAATAGCCTATATTACAAAATAAATATATTTTCTAGGAAAAGAACCAATTATTTCTATTTTTCAGTTGACGTCAACACGGCTACGTGGGGGTTCGGCACTGTTACAAACTCCTCGAACTGTTAGGTGAGCTATTTTACTGTAAACTACAACAATTAGTTATTTCTAGCTTGAGCGAAACGAAAGAATCCTTGGAGCTGCTTCCGCGCAAGATACGTTTCTCGCATTTTACTCTCTAAACTGACAGAACTGAACAAACCGCCTTCACTTAATTAACTAAACGAGTCAGTTAACTTTATTTAGCCGAAAAACGTGGCAGAAGCCCAGGGGCAGAAGTAACTTGAATTTGCTTCAGTCTGACAAGGGATTTTATTAAAACTACGCAGATTGAGACATCAGATTCCGCCACCATGCATTCAGTAGTAGTAATGAATAGCATTAACCATCGCAACAAAAAATATTTATGAGTACGTACTCAGAGAAATAGATACCCCTTCTAAAACCATGGCAACGTTCCGTACGTCAAGTGTCAGTACAGTGCCAAATGAGTCCAAGTTTTAAAATGTTATGAATGAAGATGTCAGGGCATTAAAAGACGCTTAAGAAAAACCTAAACATACGGAAGAGTACATCAAGAAGAATTCTAACAGGGGGTATTTTGTCGAAAAATTCTAAAACTTGTAAACCTAAAGCCAAAATGACATTTGCCTTAACTCACTGTGCGTGGAGTTCTCGATACGATAAACAAGTACTGCCCATGATTGAGAGGATAACTTGTCACCCGTGATATTAATAGGTAATAAAATGGTAAACTCGTGAAATTATAATTTCATTCGTCACCATCTGATTACAATTTTAAAACAATCATTCTTTGAAATCGAGGTGAATAGTGGCTAAATATTTACCGAGCCGCTTTCGCGGCTCGGTAAATATTTCCAAAGCCACTATTTACCGAGATTGAAAAGAATAATTGTTTTAGTATATACACACGAAGTGATATCAACAAAATCAGAGAGGAAACATTAAAAAGTACCATTTGATTGACAGATCAAATCACGCGTAAGTTTAAAAATAGATCTTTGCAGAATTTTCAAACATGGCAATTCACAAGTTTATCATTTCGCAAACAAGAGCGTAATGGCTTAAATGGAACCACTAAAAGTTTGAACTGTTTCCTTACCAGAGAAGAAAAGTAGAGCTTTGTTGTTTTCTGTTGACTCGCCAAGTTTATAGCCAAAAGGGTTTGTTGTGTCGTTCTTCGCATGAAGTGCTGACAAAAATGGCGGCTCCGTTGCTCGAGGTAAGACGTCGTCTTCCTGTACCACTCTTTTTCCTGTTTTCTTGAAACGTAGAATTTCTGCAAACATTTCCTTTTAAATTTTTTTGTCATAAATAAACTTCGATTTCTGAGCCAAAATTTTCTTGTTAGAAAACGCTGAGTTCACGAAACGGCTTCTTCTACGCGAATACACGGGAGTTGTAAACAATCCATTAAGCACAAAACCCAGCTGCAGTAATTTGAAAAACGTCGTATTGAATCCTTCCGAGTCTTTTCTTGCCTTAAAAAAAGTCAGCCCTAGGATTCTGTCGACTTTTAAAAGATAGTTCTCTAAAAAAATGGGAATAACACCGAGCTCACACATTATCCACTCGCTAGGAGGTGAATATTTAACAATTATTCCACGAGGGCGCGTTGGATATGAGATGATAGCGTAGCGCCGAGTTGGCTATAATCGTCTCATATCCAACAAGCGCGAGTGGAATGATTGTTTTATTAAAAACGCCCACAAAATCTTGTTGAATCTCCCCGACTAGAACAAACCGGAAAAGACAAGGGACTTCCGCTATTCACATGTCACACGTCTATCAAAACTGTCAACGCGCGAACGGACTCGCCTGGACTGCATGGATGAAAAATCAAAACATTTTAGCGATGAACATTAGTTTTTTAAAAACTCATCGGGATTCTAGGATTTTACACAGCAGAACAGCTAAAAAAAACCTGGCAGATAATGTGAAGGAAAATAATTTTTAAGTGACAGCCGTCGAAATTACTGTGAATTTGGATTTTCGGTGCAGTTATAAAAGTAAGAACAACGGAGAAAAACTATAACCTCGGTCGCTTGTTATGAAGTTGTTTGAAGCCACAAGCTGGTTTTGCTGAACGAGAAAAGAAGCTATACTGCCGCCTCGATTCCTCTAGTGAATGGCTGCATAGCCTGTATTTGTAGCTGGTTATTTGTGATTTATATTCTTGATGTCGGATAAACAAGCCGCAATTATCTATCGGCGAGTGACTCGATCGGCGAATGGCTTCGCGATCATGAAGAAACAACACTTGTCTTCTTTCGAAGCTGGTCAAGGTAGTTTAGTTCCATGTGTTTTCATGTGTTTTTCGACAAACTTTCAAACAAGCTCTTGTGGCTTTTTTGTTTGTTTTTGTCTTTTTTCTTTCGATGAAATTGCATTTCTAGTATTCTAAGAAATGAATTAAAACGATTTGCTTCGGGCGCCGTTCTATCCTTCGCGAAAAAAAATCTCAGCTAGCTTCCAATTTTAAACTGACGCGTACACCGACCATATATGGAGAGCATGGTATAATAGCTCATATACCATAACGGCTAAGCCAATCAAAATGCTAGATTGCATTATCCAATGATTCAGTTTTTAATAACGTTGAATAGTCCGAGATAGCAAACCAATCAGATTGCTTAAATCACCAAGATCACTGAGTGTGTATATACTAAATACGAATATCGTTGTGGCGGGAAATATGTTAGACGTTTTATCATTTTGCAATCGGGAGAGGACTTAATCTCCCTCAATAAAGATAAGAGTGCTAACTTTTCTAATGAAAAAAAAAAGATAAAGCTTTCCGAATGCCTACTTTTAGAGCCGGAGAATATGCGAACAAACTTTAAGTCAAATCGCGTCCTCGAATATAACGGTCTCTAATCTCTTATTCAGCGGGGAAAAGTAATAGACCAAAGCATTGTAGCATTATATAACTAACCTTTGTTTTTAGTTACGTATTTAAAGTGTACAAACCCTACTTGTATGACTTGCTTCAGAACAAAGAAACAAAAAGGCGGTATGTACTTGACTTTTAAGTAGTATAAGTTGAGTAACAAAGACGAAAACCAAAACTATTTTTAAAAAAAAGCCCTCTTCAAATATAGGTCTTCAATTAATCTTTCCAATGTTATCGAGCTAAACGTTCCATACTTTAGGGTGCGTTTTATTGAGCGTATTCCGGAAAAAGAATACGAAAAAGTTTTGTTACAAATAGTTTGCACCGTGATTTTTGGACAACATAAACACAAGCAGATTTATAGCCAAACACGAATGGTTTCTAGAGTTTATTCCATTTATTCTAATTCCGAAACACTGTCAATCGGACACGCCTTTAGGGGCACCAGCGCCAACCCGTCCTCCAATGTGTAATATGAGACATTAAATAGATTTATATAATATATGTAGTCACGGATTTTACTGGTCTGTTAGACGTTATCAAAAGAAATAAAAACTTATGTGAAATGGTTCAAAAAGAAGACTTAAACACTAAAAAAGTCAAAGGCAAAAAGAATTAAAAAGTTCTTTTGGGATATTTTATTATACAAGGCATTTTTGTATTTCACAAAATAGTATTTTCACACTCAAATTTAAATTCATAGAGCGCGGAAATTTAAAATCTAAAGCTGTTATCCTTTTTTTCTTGGAATAACTTCCTTTTTTTCTTGGAATCACTTGCATCCAATAAATATACAAGACAAAGAAGCACCAATTGCTCCAATCACCTGCAACAGAAAGGAGCGTGTGCATCTCATGATTATTACATCAACGAAACAAATTACTCAGGCTTAGCATTTTTATTTTGCCAACAAATCCACGCTGCAGGCGTTTTATACTTTCGCTGCGACTAACACCTCTGTCAACACTTCCACGAACTGTTAGGTGTGCCATCAGTTGTTATCCTAGACTAACAATTTCCATCTCTTCCACAATTTGTTTAAGATAATAGGTTTTGCTCTTATTTAGAAAACAAAGGAAAGAGTCTCTGCTTTGAAGAACTTCTGTATTATTTTCTCTTGGTAACAGTTAACTTAGAAAACCTTCAAAGAAAACCAGTAGTATTTTCAACTCTGCTGTTTTTATCTGTTTAGGAATTTAAAACGCCGCAAAAACCACTTTTCCATGTCGTAATAGGTTACGAGCATCAGCATGGATAATAAAATCAATAATGTAAAGAGCACATAAAATCGAAAGCGGAAAAGATGAACGAGTTCCCAAAGAAATCACTTGTTCACCGACGAAAAGATACGTGAAGGAATTGCGGGATATAAAATCAAGCTCCTATTAGTTAGGTATTTCGTCTGATCAGGGGCGTTCCGAGTTGAACTTCTCTCTTATAGGAAAAGTCGCAGAAACGGGCAACACGAAATTCTGTACATTTAGGCGACTTGAATTTACCGAAAAGCATTTGGAAAGTTGTAGTAATGACCGGCAGCTGCATTTTATGTAAGTTATGACCTCCCGAAGTTCGTGAACATTTAATCCCCATTCACGAAAAGAACGAGCCCAGCTTTTTATTTATGACGGCAAATGGACTCTTCCGCCGGAGAAGAGCCTTTTACATTAAGGTACAGATAACAGATTCAGTGACTTGAAAAGTACCCCGTAGCAATTACAAAATCCACCCAGTGCAGTGCCTGAGTGATGTTAACCGAACAGAACTTTGGCTAAAGTATTTTTATTTTTAAATAGTTGTTTTATACCATTAGGCTTGTTCAGTTGTCATATATCACCTAGAATTGAAAGTAAAAATGAAATTGAAATTAAAAGAAATTTTTCCACTCGAAATTTACTTAATTCATAGAAAGCTTAGGCTGTCGATTACTTTTTTCTTGGAACCGTTTATATTAAAAATACCGTATTTATTCGAATAAGCGCCCAATCTCGAATTAGCGCCCATCCTTAAGGCAGAAAAGTTAATAAGCACCCAGCCTCGAATAAGCGCCCACTCCACCCGACTCCCTCCCACAAAAACTCCAATTAGAGATAATAAGAGACCCTCCCGAAGACGGAGTTTCTTCAGAGTATTTTACAGAAACCTTGCTTTGCTACATCTTCGCTTTTTGTTATTAGCATTTACTCTTTTGTTGCAAAATATACTACTACACTTGCTGAGAATGGTGAAAATTTAATAACCGCCCAGCCTCGAATAAGCGCCCACCTCGAATAAGCGTCCACTCTCAAGGTCCAAAAATTTAATAAGCACCTAGGGCGGTTA